TGATCTTTTTTTTTGACAAAAACCTTTTATTTCTTATGACAATAACTTTTTATTTATTTTTTTACAAGAAATGCTTGTCGTATTACTTTTTCTTTTTTTTTTTAACGAGAACTTTTTTTTTTCTTTTTACAAGAACCTTATATTTTTTTACAATAAACTTTTTTTTTTGACAAGAAAAAAATTTTTTGTTGTATTACCTTTTTTTTTTTTTACAGGAACTTTATATTTTTCTTACAATAAGCTTTTATTTTTTGACAAGAAATTTTTTTTTTGTTGTATTACCTTTTTTTTTTGACAAGAACCTTATATTTTTTTTTTAACAAAAAATATATTTTTTTATAAAAAACTTTTATTTTTTTTGTAAAAAAAAATTATTTTGTAAAAAGGAAAAAATTAATTTGTTTGTGAAGGAATGATGGCACCTGGGCAGGAATTGATCCCGCGATGTTCAGCGCACAAAGCAACGCTCTAACCACCACGTTAAATGTTAAGTTGTGATACAAAGAGGTCACTCAATAATTATATCCTATTTCTTTCTGAGCTATTATCGTGGCGCAATTGTCCCACATTGAACCCACAGAACAAATTTGGTAAGGATAAATAGTCTTTTGCTACCAAAGCTAGTCACGCGCGAAACACACGTAGCAGTGTGGGTTTGTGATGGAGCACGTGTTTTTGACAATGGGTGCCCATTGTAACTCAAAAATTCATGCGCGTGCACGTAACCAGGCGAGTCATGATGTCAAACCGGACGAGTCATGACGTCTACCGGGTGAGTCATGGCATCATCCAGCGATTCACTATACAGAATCGTCGGTTCTTCTCTAGAATTGGACGATTTCCGGTTTTACAAAAGAATCGACACGGGATGACCGATTCCCTGTTCGAATCGGCCAATTCCGTACAGACTCGGCGATTTTTAAACCACTGGTTAGGACATAAGGACCACGACACTAACATTCAAGTTTCAGTCACACCTTATCTACCCAATAGAATAAATTTGAAAGCAGCGAGGACAAAAGACTTCACCTCTTACAAGGTGGAAAGTCTTTGAAAGCAATCAACGAGCATTACGATTATCCAAAATTGTCATTGTCTGTCTTGAAACCAAAACAGCATGAATTTGTCTTTTTCCTGTGAGTTGTAAACCAATTTTCTGACCCTATTGATAGAAGGGGTACTCATGGAAGGAGTAGGAGAGAAGCACAACTTGTTTGAGGTGGTCAAAAAGTTGTGTTTCGGTCCCCTCCTGCCACCATCTACCCTGGTTCCTTGCTTCCCACAAATTCTTGGGATTTCTAGATATTGGACAGTGAGGTTAGACAGTCTGCTGTAAAACCATTTTAATCAAATTAGCTCTTTCTCCCACTTATCCTACTTGCTTATTTCCCCATTATACTAGTCTTTTTGGCCTCTACATTCCAGAAAACTTCCTTGTCCCACCTTAAGGTTTCTTTTCCCAAGCTGATACCTTTTAATGTATCCATTGTTTATTTTGTTACTTTGACATTGTTTATTTTGTTACTTTGATGTATATCTCCAGCAATCTCTTTTCCTGGTTCTAGAACTGGCTGAGACCCTATGCTTTCAAATCCTTCTCAAGAATCAGTGGCCACCATTCTCAATTCAGTTTGCTGATATTTCTGCATAACCATCAGGAAGTTCCCAGAAACTATTGATTCTACTAATATATCAATTATGGGGCCGAATATGCCCCTTTATTTTCTCAAACCATGTTAACAGAGTATTGGAAAATGTGGTTGTAATAAAAAATCATAACAATATTACTTGCTTGTAAATTTTGTGATCCTAAAAATATGCATGAATTTTTAAGGGAAAATCAATAAGAGAATCCCTTTGTGAAAGAAACTGAGCAGAAACTATACTTGGAGCGCTTAACTCCTCGTGCCCTCTTCTTGGTGTTGTTTTCACAAATATAAAGTCGCCTGCCCACCCCTCTCTCTCTCTCTCTCTCTCTCTCTCTCTCT